TTCCTCTCCTCTGCTGTCTCTGTCCTCCTCAGAAATGGAGCTCCTCGCTCCCCGTTTCGATCTTAAACCAACATATCGTTCTATCATTCCTTCTCAATTGGGAAAACCCACCTCGTTACTGTTTCATTCCCGTAGCTTTTTGTCTCCTTACCCTCATGTAAACCTGAAACACAAAACTGACCTTCCATCATCAGTAGAAACATGTGGCAAGTTCCAATGCCGTGGCCAAGGGTTTGTGGAATCTGTCGCCAAAAGGGCTTTGGGATTTGGTGCTTCCGCCGCTCTATTGCTGTCTATCTTCTCCGATTCACCCGCCCTTGCTGAATCTCTCACTGTGGCTTTTCCTGTGTCTCGTGCACCTGAGGTCATCAATCTTTTCTCCCTCTCCACACTTCTTGTGCATCAAGTCAGTGATTAATTCATTTCATGCCACTAGTTTTGTTCATTTCTTGATCATATGGTCTTGCACTTTCTAGTGTTTAGCCTTTAGATGGAAGGCATCTTCAAGGATGACTTCTACTGTTAACAGTAGTTGGTCAATATCCTTACCTTTTCAACCAACCAGCAGTAGCTGTTTTCTAGTTTAGGTTACACTTGAAATTTGTCGGGTTCAGTCTTTGTACTGAAACTGAAGTTGTCAGTAAAAGATCCTCTGAAACCTTCCTACATCAGCCTACTTTATTGACTTTTTCTTACACCCAGCCATGATTCGGAGCTGTAGTAGATTTTCAGTATTATGGTAGCATTAGTGTTTTGTCTAACGCCTCCTCAAGTCGTAGCCTTTACGTGAATTGTGCTGAGTGGGACGTGTTTGCTTGCTAGGTGAATGCAGTTCAAAGAACTCTTGTGGAAGCATGGGGTTTAATTCGGGAAACGTTTGTTGACCCTACGTTTAATCATCAAGGTATTTTTTACTCTAGTTTGACTTCTATATGAATCATCAAATAAAATTTATAATGTTTATATTTGCAGATTGGGACTTGAAGTTGCAGCAAACAATGGTGGAAATGTTTCCCCTGCGCTCAGCTGATGCAGCATACATGAAAGTCAGTGGAATGCTGTCAACCCTTGGAGATCCTTTTACTCGAATAATCAGTCCAAAGGTCTTACAGCTTAAATTTTCTTTCTGGAACCTCAATCTCGTTGTCTGATGTTTTAGGGGGGAAAGTAAACTTAAGATATGATCATATAGATTCCATGGCAGTTCATGTTTCCTCTTCCCTGTTGCAGCCATAAACAATAGACTGTTTGGACAATTCCATTTTTGAGAGTAGCATTTGAAGGTGAACTTCTGTGACTGATTTTAGCAGTGATTCATTTGCAGGAATACCAAGGGTTTAGAATTGGAAGTGATGGGAATTTACAAGGAGTGGGCCTCTTCATAAATCTTGAACCAAAAACAGGACATTTGGTTACTGACTTTTCTGGATAACTTTTTTTTATAATTGACAGCAACCAACCGTAATTATGCTGTTTGTTCTTTTGAGGACAGTTCGTATGCTTTTGACCCCTGGTGCTTTAAGGATGTTAGTTTTCATTTTTGTTGTTAAGTCTTGGCATAGGGAACTAAGTATATGTCATGGAGTCGGACACATGTTACTTCTAGAACCAGGGTGTTTTTTTTTTCCCGCTTCTTTTGCTTGCTAATCTTTTCAATTGAATCACAGGTTGTTTTGTCCTGCATAGAAGGTGGTCCAGCTGCTCGTGCCGGTATACATCAAGGAGATGAATTGGTTGAGATAAATGGTAAGAATTTGTGTCTGGAGAGAAACCAGTCGCTTTCTTTTTTCTTTTTACTGAAACATAATTTCTGTTTTTTCAGGGGAGAGGCTTGATGGCATTGATAGTGAAGCTGCAGCACAGAGGTTGAGAGGAAACGCAGGAACAACTGTTACAGTAAAGGTTAATAATCCACTTTTTGCTACATAAGAACTATTCTATCTATTGATATAGGCCTTGCCAGATTTTTTTGGGCACCTTTGAAAATTGTGCTTTATTTTCTAGGATAATTTTCAACAAATGTGAGCTACAATTATATTATCTAGGCATTTCCTTCCCTAGAGGTCATTCATCCTCTGGGGACAGACAATCTCAGTGGTGGAGTGAATAGAGGGCGTTTTCTTAAAATACTATTAGAGTGATTCATTCACAAGTTACAAGGTTTTGGAGCACTTGAGTCTGAATATTGGAAGAAACTAATTTATACCTTTTCTTCTTCAGGTCAAAGACTCAGGACACAGTTATGGTATTCGAGAGGTAAATACTGAGCATTGACATTTTATTGGTTATAATTGAAGAAGGAAACTAATTTCTCTTATTAGGTTAAAATTATGATATGCAGAAGGGTTTATCTGACTAGTTCTTTCCTTTGACTTCAACTTGACATATATATCTGTGTGGTTGATCCAATGAAATTGATTTCTCTTGTTAAGCTAATGTTTTTATGATATGCAGAATCTAACGAGATTTTTTTTTTTTTTTGGAGTTAAACTTTACATGTATATCCCTGGTTAGCTGATATAATCGCTAAATGACTCTTGCAGGTCAAAATGCCACGCGAGTATATCAAGCTCTCTCCAATATCTAGTGCCATCATTCCTCATAGATCCCCAGATGGAAAACTAACAAAAACTGGCTATGTAAAATTAGCGGCCTTCTCTCAGGTTAGTGGATACCCAGTTACCAAATAATTATATTGCTTTTCATTTATTTAAAAAATAAATATAATCCCAACAATAACACTCATTGAATTTTTTTTTTTTATTTACTTATTGTCTCGCTTTCCATATGAGCTATATGTAACTTCTTCCACCTTCCTCTTCCATATCTGACAGAGTGCTGCTGAGGAGATGAAGAGTACTATTCAGGAAATGGAAAAGCAAGGAGTGCACTCATACATACTTGATCTACGGAATAATCCAGTAATTTCTTTTTCCAATGGAAGGTGTCCTGGAGGGTCACATGGCCGCTGGATTATATAACTTACATAGTTTCCTTATTTTCAAAATCGCAGGGTGGCCTGGTAAATGTTGGCCTTGATGTTGCCCAGATGTGGTTAGATGGAGATGAGACTCTAGTGAATACGATTGATAGGAATGGAAATATGTTACCAATTAATATGGTCGATGGACATGCTATTACGCACGATCCACTTGTGGTCATTGTGAGTATCACAAACTTAAGTTGCTTATCAATACGTCATGCCTTTTAATCCTACAACTTTAATGGTGTGTTTGATTGGAGCTTAGAGTAGAATGGAGGGGAGATTTTGATGAGTTTGATCTACGAAAATTGGAGAAGTAGGGTTGAAGTCTTTTAATTAACTTTCCTTACTCTTTTATCTTCTTATTGCATCTTTATAATCCCACTTACTCATTTCTTTTAAATTGAACTTACTAGAATCTCCCCTTCCCCTCGCCTTCTCTCCCCTCTAACCAAACAAGGTTAAGAGAGAAACAAAACAGGACTGCTGTTTCAAATTTTAACCTCTAAATATGAGAATGGTGATTTCTTTTCCTCATATCATACCAATGCATACTGTCAATTAAATTTCTAATTTTCCATTTAATATGGAAAACATTTCCCATTTTCATAACTCATCCTCGTTGTCCGACTATAATACTTAAGTTTGTACATGTACTGTTTTGATTTAAACACTAAAGGCAATGAACGGCAATTCTTACCCCCCCCCCTTCACAGGTAAATGAGGGAAGTGCCAGTGCCAGTGAGATTTTAGCCGGGGCATTGCATGATAATGGCCGAGCTATTCTTGTGGGGCACAAAACATTTGGTAAAGGAAAGATACAGGTATAACATACTCGCCTACTGGGAATGTTCTTAGGTTCATGACATGCAGTTAACCAAAACTTTTTAAGTAGAAAATAAATAGAACAAGAGGCTTCGTTATGCAAATAGGCCATAGAAGCCACTCTGTGACCAACATTAATTGTGCCTGATGCTTTAGTTCAAACATGGTTATTGATGTATCTCTGTCAGATTAGATTTAAAATCAAAATAGGGGATAAATTTAAATTTTATTCCTTCCTGCTGCCATTTTCGTCACATCCCAGTTAATAAGGGGGAGTTCATTCTTAATGCAGAGTGTAACAGAGCTTCATGATGGCTCTGCCCTTTTTGTTACAGTAGCAAAATATCTATCACCAGCGCTTCATGACATAGATCAGGTTGGGATAACACCAGACGTGCAATGTACAACAGAAATGCTAAATTCACCCAAGGAGATTTCAAATAAAGATAAGAGTTCGGTCTCATCTTTGGAAGCTGATTCCTGTATTATGGTAGCGGAGCATGAATTGGATGTCAAAGAGTCCAAAGGCACTGCTTCTTGACCATTTACACTTTTTCATTACACATTTTATTCAATTTATAGTTGAAAGGAAGGTTAGTTGTGTGCTGTTAAGTCAGCCAGAACATTAATTTGTACATTGCACATTGTGAATACTAATTAGCAATTGTAGAAAAAGATCAGAAAATTACTGTATATTATATTGCAATAAAAGAAACCAAAATTTACCGAACAGCTGTATCATTTCAGCTTATCAAGTAAATGTACCGGAGAAAAAGGAACAAAGAAAGAACATACCCAATTATTAGACAAAACAGAAAAAGCAGATACATATATTCATATCACAAAACTGATCTTTTACAATACCATATAGAAGGAACCACATTCCAAAAGCAAGCATGAAGTAAATAAACATAATAACTCTTTAAAGACACAGCAAGTGACAAGTTTCAATCACAATGGTTAACATTCCAGTTTACTGCAACAGAAAGGCCACAAGAGATATCAACAGAGAAGAGCACAAGACCACCCCAGAAACAGGCAAAGCAAAGCCATCTCCAGCCTCCAATGGCGGTGTAGGTGCAATCCCTGAATCCTGAGCCACAATTCTAGTAAAGCAAAACAACCCCACAACCATTATGGCCATCATAATGTGAGCTAAAGAAGAGCTGCCATTTTGTGCCATTTCCACAGAATATCACTGTTATGCTAAAGTCCAAAGAGACTGGAAAGAAACTATTGGGCGTTGGGACTGAATTATTTAGTACAGAAGAGAGCCAAGTGTTGAATTTATAGGCTTTTTTTTTTGGGGGGGGGGGGTTGGGGTGGGGAGCGCATGTGAAAAGACTTCCTTTTCAATATGGTAAGAGGTACATGAAGTGAAACATTAACCATTTCTGAAGTAACCATGCCTTTTGGGTTACGGCTGTTGAGTCCCACAAGACCAATCATAACCAGAAATTTTGCGGGGTGGCATCGCATTCTCATTGAGCCATTTACGTTACAATTTACTGGAACAATCAAGAACAGATGACTTAAACTACATTTGACTTGAATATCCTAAGATGGGCTTGGATCATTCACATGTTGGGTTTTGAACACTTGTCGAGAACAAGGTATGACGTTGTAGTGAAGTAAAATGGATTACTGCATAGGTTATCTTTTCTCAGTCACTGAAGATGGTGTTACCTCGCTTTCGGTCCAGCTAAAACATTGTTGACGTAACAACGGTGTTGTTGAGACTTGAGAGCCTTATTTCGGGAAACTTCTTTGTTCTGATAGGCCTCTTCGGTCCTTTCTTTGCCGAGCAAAAGAATCTAGAATACGTACATGTTACTGTTGTTGACTGCTGGGTTTAGCTATTTCAGAGATATTATATTAAAAACTCAACTATTTCAGACTCAAACAAAGCGAAAATGTAATCAACATCAGAATCCACTAAATAAGGTAACTCGGGTGCCAAGTAAATTTAACTGCCTATTGCTGGCAATTTTTTCTTGCAAATTTCATTGTCACAAAGTAATTCAACAGAGACATCATTTGGATTTAAAAAAAAAAAAAACTTCTTGGGCTGTTGAATTTATCTGTAGATAACAGGATAAGCAGGTGCATTAAATTCGGGGTTTTATGTGTTACCTAACATAATCAACGTAACCGGCGGGGGGGTCTGTGTTCATCGTCATATGTGACACAATGGAAACATGCTTGAAGCGTCCAAACTTTTTCCTTACAGTAAATATATATATTAATTAGTTTCCAAATATGATGAGGATAGAAAAGGCCAAAGCACTTGCTTTCATGGATATTGATAAAATTAACCAGTTTAGAATTAGCTAACCAACATGAAAATTAAGTTTAGATTGCCTTGCATTTGGAGTTTTATTAAAGATATTTTTTTGAGTTCCTGTTTGGGTTTTGAGAATATGATATATAATTCGCTCTAGAGAGAAGAAAAAATGGGAATGCATCAAAACAGTAACGAATTGTGAAAATAATATCAATTCCTGACGGTATATTTGGCGAAGGTTTAGCGACTAGCTTAAAATCTAGACCATCAAACCGTAAGTTGTGGGTTAAGCCTTCGTGCCGAAAATAGACATGTTGGAAATGGTCACACAAAACCCAATATGAGCTGAAAGCATGCAAAACCATACACGTTGATCCCTTCACAACCAAAAGAATTTGTGTTTTCCATAAAAAATTCCAGCTTCTTCCCTATAAATCCATACCCATAACCCCATTGATCTTCAGACCCGCGCCAATAAACAATAAAAAGCAGAGTTTATTCAAAGCAAAAGAAGCAGGTCTCCCTAACAAGTCATGGACATGAAGAAGGTTACTTGTGCTGTTCTCGTCGCCGCCGCCTCCATGAGCGCCGCAATGGCCGTCACCGAGGTGCCATCGGCTGCCCCGGCTCCTGGCCCAGACACCGGAGCCGCCGCTAGCTTACCCGTTGTTGGCTCCTTGATTGGTGCCTCGATCTTGTCTTTCTTTGCCTTGTTCCAATAACTTGGCCGAGAACGATGTCAGTGGAATGAGAGGGGAAAATTCAGGATGTAAAAGTGTTCATGTACTGTTATGATTCAATAAAAGTTGATCTCTTGATTTCTTCCATAAAGTTCGTTGGGCAAATCCTTTTTATTTCTTATTTTTGGTTTGTCATTACTCATTAGTATATTTACCAAGATGCACGCTATACGCTAATAGCGAAAGCAATTTTAATTTTAAAAAAACAACAAACAAAATACACCTGATTCGATAAATGAGATGAATTGACCCTATTTTTCCAACATGTCGGTCATAATAAACTATCAATGTTTTTGCTTGATATTAATAATGTCATATATTTCAGTATTTTTATTTGAATAAAGATATATCTAGGACTAGTAATATACTTGAAAGAAATGAGAATAATTAACTCATTATTTGATTAAATTTATAAGTCTGTTTCTTGATTAAGAAAATTCACAAGCACTACTTAAAAAATCAGAAATTTTGGGACGGATTTGCAATGAATTGAGGACTTTGTAACATAACATGGATCAATTTGTCATAAATTTCTTGATCACAAATTTTTTTTGAGATGAAATTTCATGCTTCTGTTGAAAATTGAAAAATTTTGTAAAATAAATTTGTGACGAATTTTCACTTGCTATAAATTTCCATCACAAAACTATGTTTTCTTATAATGAAATATAATAGAATTTTCACAATAAAATAATTTTTTATTACTTTAATATTTTAGAGAAATATAATTTTAAATTCCCACACCTTACCCAAGTTTTGATCATGAAGAAACCTAAAATATAAAAAAAAAAAAATCATAAGAACCAAGAACACTAAATATATATATATATATATATATACAAGACTCATGACAAAACTCAAATAAAATGTAGGGATCAAAGTTATTTTTCCTAACATTTTTCATGAATTTATTAAAAAAAATTATTTGCCTTAAAATTTTGGCCTATCCCCAGGATCAGATAAGATCCAGAGGGTAAAATGACTTAAAATTGAATGGAATGTTAGTTGGGTTTTATTTATTTTTTAGGGTGGAGCGAGCCAACCGTTAGGACTATTCTCTCATGACTAGCCCCTTAGATCACCTAAAAGGCTATATAGCACGATATTGAGTTTTTTCACCCAAAAGGGATGGAGAGAGAGATTCTTCTTCTCACCTCCCAGATGTGAACGCTAAACACCAAAGACCAAACATGTATTCATTTATTAATTAAAATAGCTACTAAAGATTCAATTGCTAAAGTTATGCCAAAAACAAAATACCACTTTAAAATTCTAAGTAATTAAAAATTTATTTCACATACCATAAAGCATTTAACAGGAAAAGACTACTATCTCCAATCAAGAAACAGTCCAGAAGGAACAAGCTTATGGCATATTAAAAAAAAACAAATTTCTTACAATAATTTATAAATCAATAGCATTGGGAAGCACCTCTCACAAACTAGCTTTCTGGATTAATTTTTGTGCAGATATTAGGCTCTTTGTCAACCATATTGCTGTTTCTCTGGATGAGACAGCTTCATGCCCAAATGGTCCGAGCACACGAGCAAGCTCATCAAGTTTGTCCTGCTTAAGTAACTGAGCACATAACTCAAGCAGAGACTCCAGAGCATCAGCTCTTTGCTCACATGGTCTCTCCAGCACAGTCTTGGTTTCATCACCATCCATTGCAGTAGGTTTGCTTAATGAAAGCCCACTTGGTAGCTGATCAACCGCACAAACAGTGTCATTTTCTTTATGCATGGAGCAAGGGCGTCAAGTGTTCTTGCTGGGCCTCCAGCATTACCTGCAAGTTTGCCATTACTCTCAGAAGACAAACGTCCAGGTGAAGACCTTCCGGAAATGCAGTGGTATTATGGCTTCTCTTTAAGCAGCTTCCAGATCCGGGGTCCTGTTCGGCCCTAACCAGCTGCATAGTTGGTGGTGGTTTTAACGTTTCCTCAATGGACCCATCTTCATCACTGGTTCCTGCACAGGACATTATTGATTTATTGGAGTCCTCAGGCATGGTACCTTCCCTCTGTCCCTTGGCCCCAGTGGAACCGTCACAGGAAAGCATACCTTTAACATTTGTGGCCAACGCACCCATTTCAACCCTTTCTGATTTTTGAAAATCTTCAGCATTCAATCCTAGTCCTCTATGCACAGAATCTTCTGAAATCGTCTCTGATGCAACTTCGTTATCAACTGTTTCCCTCGAAGGTTTAATTTTAAAGTCTGCCTCCTTGAACACACTGCCAACAGTAGATTCAGATGTTGTAGACTCTACTTTTGAGCCACTAATAGTAGAACATGATTTCACAATATAGCTGGTGGTGTCAACCATCTTGGTCTCAAGGTTATCTTCTACACTGGATTTACCATTTGCCTCAAATGGATGAACCCTTTCCAATCGATTGGTTAATCCCCCTATTTCTTTGTCCCCATGGTCTTTGCCATCACCAGACCTATAAGATCTTTTCGTTTTATTATTTGGGCTACTATTGGGGCTACCTACAGATTTTATTGGAAGAAGGATAGCCGATGCATTCCGACAGCGGAGGACGTATGGTTGCAAATGAGGATGCCTTAATAATTCCAGTGCCTGTCAACAAAGAGATGCAACATTGGAGTGAACACTTACTCCAGACTACTCAAAAATGATCATAGGCTTAGTTGAACTAACTGTTGGTCTATGTTCTGGATTCTTCTCAGCATGCTCTTGATAATTTGTTTCCTGTAACACAACTCCTGATTTAGTTCTACCATTTGAAAGAAATATGAAAGATATCAAGAACGAGGATAATTTCAAACAACAATAACCGCAACAGCTCTAAACAAGTTTCGGTTAGTTTAAAATGTAATTGTGTGTGTGTGTACACATTTGAATTCCTATTGAGTGGAAGAAAACTAAATCATTTATTTAAAAACGAAAGGACAATGAAAGAAAGCATAATAATAAGGTGACTTGTATAGGTTTCAAAGAAATCACTTACAGTGTGGACGAATAAACAATTGGTAGTGGAGAAATGGAGGATCTATTTATCTTATTGATAAGGCCGGCCTTGTCCTGTTCCATTCTTTCATTCATTAATCTCTTTAATCTACTTATAAATACATGTTAAAAGAATTAAAACTTAATGCAAATAAGAATATCAAATTCCTGATCATGGTTCAAATTTGTCCTTACTGGAGCACGAAATGCGGGCTGATGTGCAGCAATTTCAAACATGCAACAACCTTGACACAGAGACATTCTTAAATGAGAAGTGATGTCATAAAGCTTTGTCAGGAAAACAGGAATCCAAGATGCTTACCAAGTGACCATATATCAGATTTATAACCATAAGGTATATTTTCAAGGAGCTCAGGACACATGTAGTTTGGAGTTCCTACACCCTACACAAGATAGACGAAGGATGCAAATAATAGCCAGCATCAGCAGGTAGATTTAATTGGACTAGCATAAACATTGTGATTAGAAGTTCAAAGTATAAATCAACAGCATAATTCGTTCTAAGATGAATAACACCAACAACTTGGCTTGACAATTTGTTTCAAAAGGAAAATAACACAAACAATTTCATGAAGAAGGCATCATAAAACTGCTAATGTATTAAAATATATACAATACCGTGGAAGAAAGGTCTTCTGTGTTAAGTAGTTTTGCAAGACCAAAGTCACCTGTGCAGTCCACGCAAAACATATATTCCTTAAGACACCACAATACATGAAAAGCCAGAAATGATGGGTTTAAAAAGGATAACACATACATACCAAGTCGAATGTCATTGCCTTTGGCAAGGAGTATGTTGGAACACTGAAATTAAATAAAGTTGCATTAATGAAAATGTCATGTAAAAGATTTCTTTTGCCAGGACAAGGGAGTATCAACACCTTAAGATCTCCATGGAGTACACGATTAGAATGCAGATAGTCCACAGCAAGCAACAATTGAGTCAGCCATTTGCAGATTTTCTGCAGGAGAATATGGTGCAGAACAGGTAAGGAACGCTCATCCAAGAGCATATTAAGTTGTGACACATTAAACCCCACTAGTTACCTCCTCAGAGAAAAAAGATCCTCGGGCTCTCTTTATCATCCCAGCCCTGCTCCATAAAGATTTCAGTATTTCATGATTCAGCTTTATATATGGTGTGAAACACTGTCGATAATTCTCCCAAGCATTTATGCATGCGCACATGCTTATGAGCAAATGCATGTATTCAAGAGATATCTGCAATCTTCTATGGAACATGAGACCCGCAAAATCCCAAAGCCATTATCCAAGTGCTTTTCCTTTTCTTCTATGTTTTTGTAAATGATGGAGCAGAGGTTTGAACCTTTTATTTTATGATATGAAACCCCAATTCCTCACTACTAGTAGTGCCCCCCCCCCCTTTCCCCCTAAGTGTCTATGGTAAGGATGTTACTAAGATTATAAATATACCTCACCTTTTTACGAAAGTATTTTCAATGTATCAGTTAATCATATTACTAATTAGAAAGATTACAGTAACAATTCATCATCCTTCCACAATGACTTAGATTTTCCACAATATGTTACAAGTGCAAGATACTTTGATGTGGAAGTCACAAAAATAGGCCTAAGGCCATGGTATAACAGAACTTAAACTTTAAGGTCAAGAAATTCTTCAACATGATATAAGATCCACCTCAGTCTATCTATTAATTCAAAAATTTTAGAATCAAGATGGGTGTAGTTTCAGTACAAGATAGAAGTTAGTATTTGTCTTTTTTACAAGTCCAGTAGGTTCTCATGTGCTAGGCCGTGCTGGAATTGTGAGAACAAATTATTGACCCAGTTAATAGGGGGGGGGGAGAGAGAGAACTTTTATTTTAAGCTGGGTCAATAACTTGCACAGATTGCCAATAAAAGTTTCTCTCTCTCTCTCTCTCTCTTTCCTTTCCTTTCCTTTCCTTGTAGACGTTATCTGTTAGAATGTTGAATAATAAGGATTTAAATGGGATTGAAGGAACAGCAAATGTCAGTATTGTATGGAAGCAAAAGTTATTCTAGGACATAGATATGGAATTGAGATTAATAGGCTCAGATACTTGAGTCATGCAGGCAAAAAGTAAGGGCTGTTATCATATAACTTACATGTCACCTCCTTCACAATAGCCAGTTATGATGCATATGCAGTCCTCCTATAAATCATGAAAAATCTCACAAACATGCGTGTTAAGATTCATAAACATCAGAAGAACAACCAGGAAACTCTGTAAAATCTTAAACTTGTCATGTCCTTTCTGCATGTATGTAAAACTGAGCACACAAAAATGATCATAGACTTACCTTTTCCACCCAGGCATCTTTGTACTCCATGACATATGGGTTATTTAGTTTTGAAATCAGGTTCATCTGAAACAAACAGAGGTCTCTTTTTTATGTCAATGGATAGCAAAAAACTTGTTCAGAACCAGCTTCAGGTTGTATTCAACTCCATATGCCTATTGCATGCTATTCATATGTTTACAGTACTTTTGCAATCATATAGGAACTAAATTTCAGAAAGGGGAGAATGACAGAGAGGCCCCAAAAGGGACCAATTAATTCAAATTAGGTCCCAAACACCAAACTCTAGGAATTTACAAGTTTGACTTTCAATTTTGCAATTTCATTGTAATAAATTTACAATTTTTGTTTCAAATTTTAACAGAAAAATAAATTTGCTTATTTTTCAACCATGTTAAAATTTAAAAAATAAATTGTAAATCCATCATAATGAAATTGTAAAATTGAGAGAAGGATTTATAAATTCCTGAAATTTGTTAGTTAGAATCTAATTTAAATTCATTGGTCCTCTTAGGACCTATCCGTCATTCTTCCTTTCAAAAAGCCAATATTCTCTTTTATCTTATCTGTATTGAAATATGCAGCAGTGACTTGCTTCTGGATAGAACCTACAAGATTTGCTTTTACTGCTATTAATGTTTTATTCAGTCTCTGTCTTTGTGCTAAAAAGGACATTGGTTCCTGGAAATACTACACATCCAGATAACTTGTTAGTAGTAAGAACGGAGTGTAGGCAATGGTAAATTTATAAATCGTCAAAGAAGAGTAAAGATGTAGCGGACTCAAAACATTGAAGGAAATGGATTGATGGATGCCATTTATCAATGCATATGGGAAAATTTTTTTCTTGAAAAGAAAGAAAGATTGAAAGAGATAATACTGACTTCAATGTGGGCTCGATCGTCCATTTAATTAAGACAGAAAAAGAAAGAGAATGATTGGATCAATTTTCCAAGAAAAGAAAGAAGCATGTGTGTGTACGGCTAACACTGCATATATGCATCACTTGGGGAGGGGTTTGTTACGCCAACCTCTTGGTGCGCTGTACGTTTAGACTTCTCGATTTGCTTGGCCAAGCGAATCTTCTTTAGTACATACCTACCGGACATAGAATCAAGAAAATGAACAATAATCTCAGTAAAAAAATAACGGGTTGGAGCAAATAGCTATCGAAATTAGTGGGTTTCATTTTCAACAATTCAAGACAGAAATCCCGTAAGTCGAGAAGTTCTGCTTCATGGAATTGTCAATTTTTCAACTAAAAATCCATCTTTAATCGTTTATGCTCATTATTCGGCAGGTATAGAAAATCAAGACAGAGGATATCATTTCTGCGAAGAGTGCCTTACTTCTTTTTCTCAGACTTGTGGAGAACGAGAAAGGAAGTGCCCAGTGTTCCTATACCAATCTGCTCTATCACTTCATAGTCCTCCATCTTTGACTTGGCACCACTATTATCGGTCTCCATGGCAAGCTCCGGAAGCTACAGTATACAAACAGTGAAGTTGCAGATTCTAGCGGCTACGGATCCAGTCCAGACAGCAAAACGTGGACTCCACTACCAAGCTTTCACCACAGATACTCTAATTGAAGATAAGCGATAGCTTCGAGAGCATTAATTATTCAAATCCAAACCAACTATCCTGCATCTCTGCAAGAATGAGTCGGGAGCCTATTGAATTTGATTCAACCAACTATGAAGTGCTTCAAATGGATGGAGTTATTAAACTGAGTAAAGCAACTACATTCCACAATTTATGACACAAAACTACCTTCTGTGATGAGAGATGACTAAAGCAGAAGAATATACCTCTACCGAGAAATATTAAAGTTTGATAACTGACCCAAAAGAGAATAGAGGGGAGGGTGGGTGGGGGGAGAGAGAGAGAGAGAGGAAGGGTCTTCAGGGGGTGGTGGGGTGGGGTGGGGTGGGCTTGAAGGACGGGAAAGTCAAGCGAAGCAATATGGAGCATACATGTTGTCACTATTTATTATAATTAATTAATTATCACGTCTGGTTTAGCGCATTAATACAGCTTTACAAAGGAAAATTGAATGATTTTCATTTTAAAAGACCTTGAAATTGAAAATTATAATTACTTGAAGATTAATATGAACTATATTAAATTTACGATGGCTTGAGTTTACAAGTCTCTTTGGCGTGGGAGTGAAACATCACTGATCATGGGGGATATTGACGGCACGAGTTGTGAAGGCACAGTCCTTGTACCTTTAAAATAATAGAGTGATGGAGTGGTTGTCCAATTTTGGAGTTTAGCTAAGAGGTTATGCTTCCCCATATAGAGTTCTGTGGGTTTGTGCTCTTGCGTTGCACCCACTCGAAATCCACCAACGTCATTATATAATTTATTTGTAGCCTAACACAGCCATCCTTAGAGGCAAAATTTTGTTCTATTTAAGGTCTTTGAAATATCCATACCATATTGTTCATTTGTCAGATGCAGGCAAGAAATCACAAGGCAGTCTTGTTGACCTATGGTTGGAATTATGCTCTCAAGGGTTAATTTTGGAAGCAAGGGATAATATTTGGATTCCAATGGGTTCCACGAGCGAAATTTCCGGTTAATTTGGTGGCCATGACGTGTGATCAGAACCCAATGAGGATGCCTCTTTCCAAAGAACGAGTTGTGAAATTTCTAACATAGTGGGATTGATATGACAAGATGAGAATAATTAAAGGGGAATTGAGATTTTGCTGACCATTGACAAAAACATAGCCTAGGAAACCCAAATAGGCTCAAAAACAATTGGGTGGCCATCCGTGGCTGAAGTTATCCGTTAGGGTTAAGAGAGGGAGCCCCACTTGCCTCAAGAAACCAAAGATATAGATATAGATAAATTTCGATAAAATAGAAGGGAGGTCCCATCCTCCTCTGCTTTTAAGGAACCTTTTTTCCCTTGTGAAGTAATAACGCTTTTCCAACCACGCACGCATGCCCTCCCTATTGGCCATCGCCCTCAACTTATTTACAGCTCGCATTCACCCCGTGAGACACAGTAAATTTTGAGACGCTAGTTTTTTTTACAAGCATTCCACCGACCAAATGGTACTAACTAGTAACCTGCATTAGTGCATTGCAAACGCCACAGTGAAAACAAACGCGCAAGTCCATTTAACACCGACATTTCTTGACAATTCATGAGATCCAGGCCTCTCAACATGACCCTTGTGCATGACTTCCAACATTTTTTCCTGCCTGAACAAGTATTTTATTGACAAATCTTTTGTTACAGAGCATTTACTAGGCAAGTAATGTCAAATAGACCACAATTAATAGATAATTACCAAAAAAAGGCATTTGCAAAATCAAGTACAAAAATTCCTTGACCTAACCATCATTTCTTTCATCTTATCTACCAGTCCTCTCCCAAAATTTGATTTTGGACCATACAATTTGCGCGAACCGCACACCAAGTTCGTGCATACTATTACTCCCCATATCAAAGATAATTTATCAAACATAAAATCAGCCATCCACCGCTGAGCAAATTCGAGAAGGCCACAGCCAGGATTTGGCTGCAAGCCGAGAGAGCTAAACCTATACGAAAGTCACCGTTTCTGCTATATCCATGCTAGATAGAAGGAAGCTTCAGTTGTTTAAGTTTCACATCATAACTCGCACTAATCAATTCAGAAGAAAAGGATTTGCCATTAACAGTTTAATTACACAAACACGGGAGTTGAAGTACTGTTTGCTTAAAATTCTACCCTTGACTGTGCTGCAATTGTCCATTACTTGCGTTTTGATTTTTTTGACAGCCTTCGGCTTTCAAGTTTTCTCTGTGTAGCTTCAAACTCTTCTTCACTGGGCTCTGCAGCATCACCCCCTCCATATTTAGAAATTAATGATGTGAACATTGAATCAAACTGGCCTTTCCTCTCATTTCGGCGTTGCAAAATGACTGCATATAGATCTGTTCCGGCCTGTTTATTTGACCTATAAAAGGTTTAAAAATAAATTATTCCTGAACTATATCATGATTAACATAAGCAGTACCCCTGCCAGTTAGCTTACTTTGCTCTCCTTAAAGGACTGGTTGGTGGCTTCATTTCATCAACTTTCTTCGCCCATTTCTGGTAGGCTTTAGTTGACTTCAGTTCACCTGCAGATAACAGTGCAAGGAAAAAAAGGTAACGGAGGAAAATGCTATTTTCAAACTTAAGAAGCAATGGACTCTGCATACTGCATTTTGCCATGTCAACTCTTTGCTAAAATGTACAGAAATCCACACTGCACTATATATTGTCCTTATTATCGTAACTAAAAAAATAAAAAATAAGTCCATTCTATTACCCTTTTATGCAGGGATAAAAATATTTTCACCACAGTAACTTTTTCATTCTATTTTGTTCCCATTTCATTACTGTGCACCAAGAGAATCATAGGGTCTCTAATGCTGTTAGTGACAGATGAGAGAACTCAAATTTAATACATCCATCAGAACAAAGCATTGCTGGGACTATTCTTACCAGCAGCTATAACCTCATCAATGATATCTTTGAAACGATGTGAGTCAAGTTTAGGATCTGAACAAAGCATTGAACAGAAGAGCCTGCAAAGGGAAGTTGCTTATAATATCAAATTAATAACTTTTAAGGCTAAAAAAACTTTTTAAATAAAGGAAGTTTATCATAATGCTCTTTTACCTGTTCATATTACCCTTGTACTTTTTGTACAGGTCAATTAAATCATTTTTCTCAGAGTCTGATCCCCTATAGTTTGCTTCAAATTCCTCAATATCAGCTTCAGTGACCTATAATTCTTCAGTCATAAAACTATCGCAGCACAAGTCATTATAAAACGCTCAGCAGCATATTAAATAAATACCTTCCTGTACACTGCTCTGAAATACTCGTGAAGATTCTGAACAACTTCCCCAGCAAGGTCCTGAATATCAAACAAGACAAATAAGTTTGCAGATGTGCCAGGCATAGTTTAATTATTTTTATATCAAAAGAATGCAATTAAAAGGCTATTATGTCATGGTTCAATGGTTCATTAATTTAAATGCAGCTACAAATGCCCAGATACTCACAGCATCATCAACACAACCGGTCTGATCATAAAGAGCCCGTTTATCTTCATCACCAAGAATTGAGATCACTTTTTGCAATTGCTGAAATCTCTCCTTAGCTTCCTGTAAAAGGATAAGCAATTACAATCGCCAATACTTGCAAGTCAATAAATTTACAGAGGCATAAATAGGCAACCTTAAACAATCACCTCATCACCGGGGTTTTTATCAGGATGGAGCCGCAATGCTAACTTGTAGTATGCTTTCTTTATTTCCTGTTGAGATGCTGTTCTCTCCACACCAAGAACCTAGGAACATTGAACAATCAATGAGTGCATCATTGTCCAACACATCATTGTTCAAAACTAGAAAAATATATAAAAAAGAAAATATCTGATGAATGCCAATGGAAAATAGAGAACCACCCGTGGTAAAAGTGACAAGGAGACAGGATACCAGACTATATGGAACTATCGTTGGCGGATTTAGTAAAAGTGATTACTAGAGTGGAGATTTCAAGCTTGGGAAATGTGTGCCTACAGCACTTAAGAGATAGCAGATGCTATTTACACCAATAGGATTTTGATCACAAATTCTCAAACCCATATTTTCTTATCAAGCTCCCAAAGCAAATTGTGAAGTAATTCCTAATCCCAAAAGACTACAACCATTCTCAATAACTTGACCAAGAAAATATGGTGCAGATTGCCTAAATAAAACTTATTGCCACTTGACCTGAATGGTATTAAAATGTACAATAACAGTATGTTGTCAATGTTTAAAAGTCTTAATTGTGAATTTCAAGGTCAGCTTCTTCTGGCAACAACAATACAATTGCCTTTCAGCCAATCAAATTATAATTTACCAAGATGGAATACCTCCTGTTATTATAGTCATAGTAGCCTCTTCATTCACTTATTACATAGCCTTTCAGCAACCAGGAAGCAATTCCACTCAAACCCCATAGGCTTAGCTATGTCTTAGCGGATCCAACTATTTTAAACCGTCAATTTCATTTGCAATCCATGTAGTCCTCCAAGTCAAAAAGACCTTTCCTTCGACCAGCCTATCCTATATGCGGTCGCTTAATATGTTCATGAGAATCAGCTTAATCCAGGTCAAAAAGTTAGCAATAGAATACCTGCCATTTAATCACTGATTTATTAATCTCAAAAACATCTAATCGAGATAACATTTCTCACCGTATCGCGCAAATGTTTCTCATACAAACATTAAATTATGGGCCATATTAGCGTCTAACGAATTATAACATCAGGCACAATCAACCAAATTACTTTACCGCAGGCGTAAAACCTAGCCTCCGGCGTCAAAATGAACAAGGACTAGAGGTTTAATCAATATGGTAAAGATAGCTGGTCGATCAATAATACCTCGTAGAGGCTCTTTTCCGTAGAGGAACTTGGGTTCTGATTCTGTTTCTCCGCTTCCTGCTCGGATCCAAGACTTTCGTCATCAGAAACCCTAGCCTTCTTCTTCTTCGCCATCGTAATGTCCGAGGGTAGCTTTCTGAAGATGGCTCAAATTAATGGCTAGATACTTCTTTTTAAACCGATATTAAATTGCACACAAAATAGTGCCGGAGAAGAAAGTTTGGCGGTCATCAAATTGTTCCCGCCAATTGCTTCCCGCATCGCCCATTTTCCCGCCGTGGTGTCTACTACAGAATTTTATCATTCCTATCTTATAATCAAATTTTACGTAAATTATAAATATAAATATAAATTATTCTTATCAGCGATGTCATCATAAATATCAATTAAATCAATATTTTGAATTATATTTATTATCCACGGCGACACATATTAAGAAGAAAAATAAAATGCTCAGACGTATTAAAGTTTACAATATATTTTTAACTAAAATATTCTCAAAGAAGTTACTTTTGATCTAGAAGTTTTTAAAGCTTCTAGTTGTGATAGAATTTAAATTTTCTTCTATCATAATTTTTAGCATGTTATAGATAAAGATGCGTGTTCTTTAGTCAAAATATTTTTGCCAATCCATATCGAGTAGAAGAAGTAAATTATACTCATTTGGTACTAATTTCGAAGGTTGATATCCTAAGTATGAAGGATTTCAAATCAATCTTGTTATGCAGTGAGTTACAAAATTATATCTAAAGCTTTGAGTTGCAAAATGAGAAAAGTAATCGGAGATTTTGTGGGTAAGCACTAATTTAGTTTCATTGCTAGCGGATAAGGTGGCGATAATATCATCATAGTCCAAGAATTCATCCATACCATGAGATTTACAAAGAAATTGAAGGGAATGCTTGCAGTGAAAACTAATTTAGAAAAAGCATATGGTCATTTAGAGTGGAATTATATTCAATATACACAATGAGAAATAGGGATAGTGTAACAGCCCTCCGCTCACCCCGCCTACCCGAGGTCTTTTGCGGCGCTGGATACTCTCCCCTCAGGCCCCACAACAGGGTGACCCCACCCCTTTCGGTGAGCATCAGGAAACAAAGGCTTCCCCGCAGTAGTGTGTGGATTATTCCCCTTGCGGAGAGCCTCCCCAGGTTCGATCCTCCAACCTCTCCTACATAACAAAGTTGAGGCTGAACCTGGTACCATTGAACCACGTGTCCGCACACTACTGCGGGGAAGCCTTTGTCTCCTGATGCTCACCGAAAGGGGTGGGGTCGCCCTGTTGTGGGGCCTGAGGGGAGAGTGTCCAGCGCCGCAAAAGACCTCGGGTAGGCGGGGTGAGCGGAGGGCTGTTACAGATAGCACCAAGTTTAGTAGAGTTTTTCATGGCTTGCATCAGAAGCTCATCCCTTCAAGTTTTATGGCATGGATATCCCATTGATAATTTTAAACCCACACGAGGTGTTAGATAAGGGGATCTCATATCCCTATACACCTCTACCTAATGTACGGAGAGACTGAACCATGTTATTCTTGATGCAGTGGAAGACCAATAGTGGAAGACTATTCAACGTGCATAAGGGGGTCCTAAATTATCTCAGGAGATTATTCAATTAAAAAGAAAGATTTCCTATCATGGCAGAAAAAGAAGCCCTAATCAGAGCAATCTTATATGCACTATTGACTGACTATATGCAAACTATGCTTTTGCCAAAAACACTCTTGAATGAGTTGGAAAAAGAGAGAGAGAGAGTTGGTGGTTCCTTTAAGGAGAAGAAGAAGATGCTAGAAAGCTTCATCTCATTTCTCGGGAACATATAACCAGAGATAGGAAACATGATAATTTGGGTGTCAAAAATTTTAAAAAAACAAAACAAAGCCTTTATTATGAAATTGTGTTGGAATCTACTTTGCAATGAAAAAGCATTATAAGTCAAAGTATTAAGAGCAAAATATAAATATGACTTTAGCAATGGGTTGAAAGTTAAAGAAAGGCAACATTCTTCTTTTATGTGGAGAGCAATATGTCATATTTGGGAAAAATTAAAGGAAGGAATAGGAAAAGGGGTTAGAAATGGTAGATCTACCCCTTTATTGTTTGAAAATTTGTCAATGCTTAATATTTCTTTGATTAGGCTTGTTTTTGAAAGGGATGGATTGATTGATAGAATGAGAGAGTTTCAAACCATGTGAATCATGGGGGGTCTTGGGATGTTCAGAAGTTATCTCTTTGGTTCCATTAAAACACGATTGCTCGTCTTACTTGTGTCCGCCCACCCTATAAGGAGAGAAGGGAGGATAAACACCTTTGGAAACCATCCAAACATGGCTCTTTAATGTTAAATCTACCTATTCTTTTCTCTATACAAGTACAAGAAGAAACGCTAATAGTATCTGGAAAATACTGTGGAGATGGCCCATTGTAGAGAAAATCAAATCTTTTATCTAGCTATTCATGCATGAATGAATTCACACATATCAGCTAAGGCATAGGAGAGGAACTTCAATCAAATAAAGCCGCCCCTTTGGATGTGACAAGATAGAAAACTCAATGCACTTAATTCATGAATGTCCAAATGTTGTGGATAGGTGGAGAGTAGTGATCAAAGAGGAATACTAGAGCATCTTCACCACTTAACAAATGCAGATTGGGTTAAATGGAATTTCAATCACGAGACAAGTCAAAATGAAAAATCTAACTTGGCCAAAGTTACATGAAAAAGGTAGCTTGCTCAAGTTTGTTTCATTGTATCTGTTAAGAAATTTGGGTTGATAGATGTAGGAAGATTTTAATGACAAAAATGACCATGAACATAAGACTCCCTTATCTAGTTTTTTCAAAGCTTGCTTGGATGCTAATTTATTTAAATTAGCCCATTCTCTATCACACAAACCAAACACTTTAGGGAAAGAAGTTTGCCTAGAGATGGCTCAATTTCACCTAATGAAAGCAATAGTTATGACGGTGCTTTATGGGATAGAGATAGGAATTAGGTTGGAGGTGTTAGTTGTAAATTAACATTCCTATTGTGATATTAGAACTTCTAGCTGCTGTATATGGCCTAGATCTCTGTTGGACTAGAGGCTTTTCATATTGCGGACATCTTTTATAAATGCAAGGAGGTTGTGATCCTACTAACTATGAGATGTAATAATTCTCACCAATTTGAAGACTTGATTGAATATGCGAGATTATTATTTCATAAGGATTGAAATTTAGTCATTACTCATTTAGATAGAAATTTGAATTTGCATGCTAATTACTTGCTAAGCTATCTCATTCCATGGATATAACTTTTTGTATTTTTGGTCAACCCTCACATCTCCCACAAGAGGTGGCGGATGATAAAAGAGATTTATCAAATTCATCTTTCTATAACATTAGTTAGCTTATGAATGTACTTTTTTAGTTAAAAAAAAAGATCAAGTATATTGATGATTTGACGTATACATACATAACAAAATGAGAATAAATTAATCATCAGATCAACTTAATTTTATCATTGTAATTCCTTACACTGTATTTTATTCTTTCGTTCTTTAAAAATTTTAGAACCTTTCCACTACCTAAATAATCATATTTCTTTTATTAATTTGCATAATTGTCATCAATATTTCATGATTCATGTCGGTGAATTTTAACAGTCTTATCTCAATTTTAAGCAATGAAGATCAAATTAGCAATTGAAATTAATTTAAAGGACTAAATTAATAAAAATTAAATTTAAAAAACAAAATAAATAACTCAGACAAATTTAAAAGGCTAAAAATTTATTATTATAATAATTAATTATTAAAAAAAATTTAAGTGTCAGGTATACGAAAACTAGTATGGTAGGTACTGACTGGCAGCCCTTTCTGTGTTGCAAGTAAAATGTTGTTAATTGGTTTTGAGTGGTGGGTTTATGACAAGTACGTGGAAAAAATGATTTTTTCTTTTGCATACAAAATGACGATCAATTTTAAAAAATGTTGCATGTTTACATCCTCAATTTTTAACAAAATATGCTATTCAAGAAGGCAGAGGATACTACCAATCACACCCATTAGGAGAGACATGGCAAGTGTTTATCTGAATTGTCATTTGTAAAATTGATGTTTCAACAAATGAGATTTAAATTTAAATAGAAATTAGTTATTGTAATTAAATTTACATTTTAAACATTTTTTTTGGAAAAAATTAATTTAATAAATTGAAACTAATTTGCACAGCACTGTTCAAAAAAGGGTTAGATATACAATAACTAATTTTTTTTTGCCAAAAATAACTAAAATAACATGAAATTTACTAACAACTAATCAGCATTGGTGATAGTAAAAAAGATTACGATCATTTAAGAGTAAGGTTTTAAATTTAAGTCCATATGAATGCAAAAGTAGGCTTGACAATGATCAAATATAGTTAGAGAGATGCATTAAAAAACAAGAGAACTCGACATGAGTTTTACACTATAAAAGAGGTCTGAGATTGATGAATTGTATAAGATATACAATCAGATATATTTAACAAATATAAATATATAGAAATAATCCAACCCAATCCAATTTAAAAAACTTAAAAAAAAAAACTACCCAGACCAGAGAATAAAAGCCATTTTTAAAAAATTTAATGCCCATCCAAATAAAATAAAACACTGTTCAATTAGCTGTTTACTTGAAAACTTAGATCTGCGACACCGAAACTCCAATCCAAGCAAGCATAAATACAAAAAGGGGATGCAGGTCGTGCAACTGAGAACACGGCACCTCGAAAAAATTTCGTTCCTGGACTTCTCATGAGAATCAATGTGCTCGCAGAACGATAATCCTTTATGAGAAAGAACTCAGTGGCCCTATCTGGTAAAAGGCACTGAATTAATAAATTTTAAAGGATTGAGAATGAAAATGAGAAGATGGGAACAAATTTTAAATTCATATTTAGCATGTGATATATAATTAACAAAAGTAAGACTCAAATGGAACAGAAAAGCCAAAAGATGGATGTGGATTACGTGTAGTGCCAATAGTAAAGTATATAAAAAGTGAGCTCATCTTACCTGTTCATTTTATTTAATGGTTGAGAAGAAAATAATGCATAGAAAATTTTATTACTGAAAATATTCAAAAAAAAATTATAATAAAAAATACTTTACAATTTAAATTCTAAAAAAATTATTAAAAAATTAATTTATTACATTGTAAATATTTTGAAAAAATCGTTCTTGCTCTACCCAAATGAGATTGGAAATCGTTTCTCTGTCTCTTAATGTTTTGTATATATTTACTTTTAACTTTTATTAATAATATTGACTATTTTTCTGAAAAAAAATTTCCTTTTTTATTTTTTCATTTAACATAAAAAATCTTACTTGTCAATTTAAATCTTAAAACATTATAAAAAAACCAAAAAATTTTAATTTAAATATTTTGCAAAGATCGTCCCTATACTATCCAATGATTTTTTTAACAATAAAAAACTTACTTTATAAATTAAATCCTAAAAATTACGAAAAATGTTAAAATATAATAAATTGAAAATTTTAATAATTTTGAGAATTTAAATCGTGAAGTGATTTTTTATTATAGAAAAAGTTTGAGTGTTTTGCAAGTAATAAAACTTTTTATGCACCATTTTCTTCTCAATTTTTAGATGAAATAAATAGACAAGATGAAGCCACTTCCTACCTACTTTGCCATTGCGCATGATCCACATCCCTAAAAGACAAAGCTGGCCTTGTCTTCTTCCTTCCACTCTCTCTTACCGTCGTCGTGAGCGACATCCATTTGCTTCTTCCTCATCATCCTCCTTCAATTTTCCTCTTTCATGTGCTACTTCATTGATCGAACCTCTCATTCATTTTCCCTCTCCATATCAAATGGAAGCACTAAAGCCCCTATGAAAAATGTGAAGCCTATTGTCGTCGACGGCACATTGAAGCCCCTAAGGAGAAAAGCATCGTGACTGCCTGAAAATGGAGACACCCAAAACCTCAAAGAAGAATAGAATCAGGTTTCCAACGAGATCTGAAGCGAGAAAAGCAAATAATATCAATGGTGATCGACCCATTATCTTCATTCCTCAAAAACAATCCATGATTTAATGCCTAACTTCTAATCTCGATTTTGCAGTCAACACTTGAATTGATCTCACCCATCACCAGATTTGGAACAAGAAAATCAAATTTCAATTTCCATCTTGCCTTCCCTGTTTTTATTCTTGCTTACATCGAGGTCCATTGTTGCTGTGGGTCTTTGTTATTTGTTTGTTGCCTGTTTGCTATTACTTCCATTGAAGTCGTCACCAACAAGGGAGGAAGCCGTCACCGGGAAGTCATCCACGGTGAACGTGCCTGACAAATTAAGTGAAGGAGAAAGTCAAGTTAGATGCAGACATTATTTAAAAGGATTTTGGTCATAAAAATTTCAATCTCAAAATTATCTTTGTAATGCTGGACGGTGGGTTTGAGTATTCTTATATAGGCGGGATTAAGCAATTCAAAAGATTGGTGAATGCAGGACCAACAAGTAATGAGCAATAGCATAGGTTCAAAGCTATTATTTTTAGCTCTATTGGTAGCATATTAAAGAGTAAAGATTCAAATTTTGCCACCAACTTTTTTTTTAAGAGCATTAAACAACTTATATTATGAGGTAATACGAAATAAATTCTTGATTAAAAAATAGATTATCCAATGCCTAATATTAATTTCACTCAATAGACTCTAGTTTTCCATGCAGGGCCCACAAAATTTTGATGGAAAATGACATGTGGCCCTCCACCTCAGCACAGGGTACAAATGAAAAATTTAATCACGAACTATTTTTCGAGGGATATTGGATATCCATTACTATCAGGTAATGCAAAAAAAAAAAATCAACTATAAAAGGTATTTTCTCATCGATTTTAACCAAACGTCATTTTTTTATATTTATAAAATTCACAACTCATCAATCTCTTCAACTTTTTTGCATTTGCTCTCAATCTCAGCCTGAGAATAAGAGGCTTAAAGAGTTTTTGTCTAAAAATATTGATAATGATAAAGCCAATAGAGTAGAAGGGGGAGAAATAAGATAAGATTTTATTTAAATCTCTATGATAATTCAAACAAAATAACGGTTTGAACTGCGATACTTTTATGCATTGGGGAAGCTTGATTTGATTCTTTATTTTTTATAAAAGTAATTCATGATTAAATTGTGATATTATTATAAGTGCAAAAATAATTTATGATTAAATTAAGTTTGATGGTTAAATTTACACCTTTATTTCATATTAAACACATTTATTTTTAATCTGAAAAAATGGTATATGACTTCAAAATGCAAATCACAAAAATCTTGCGGACAAAGGAAAACTCGTAAATAAATTATAAATGGCCAAATGCGTCACAGCACAAATGCACAGTTGGACGTCGGCTATTGCCCGCGGGCACGTCGCATAAAATATTATTTTCAAGGAACAGTAACCAAAAAAAAAAACAAATAAAGGGGGAAAAAGTGAAAGATAGGGGCAAAGTAGCAATTTCAAGGAACTACGGGGTAGTTTACAGAAGGACCAACCGACTCCGCGAGGAGCATTAGTTGGCAGATAATGGTTCAAAGTGCAGCATTTCACACAACGATACGGCCGAATACTGGTCTCTCTCTTTCTCCCTACCCCTCTCTGTCTTCGTTTAATATTGTACTTCTTTTTAGTTTAGGTTTTCTCAATTGTTACCCACTGTTCTCCAATCCATCCAAGGTCAGGACTATTTCCATCTATCATGTTTTCCCTTATAGATTGTTTTCCTTGTTGTCTGCGTGTTGTCAAATTTCCCTTCTTTCTCCTGCTTCTTGTTGGTGGATACACCGATTCCCTCTTCAGGATCGGTGTGAAACTGAGCCCCCCGGGCGAGAGGTTTTTCTTTTTAATATCTACCCCCTGCTTCTGCATCTCTGATTAATTATGATTCATTTCATTTCTTCGGGGTTATATGTTTTACTCGGGAGTGAATATACTATTGGTTCCTGATATATTCCCGTTTTTTTTTATATCTGATTGAGAAGTGCTTGTGACCCCCCTCCTCATGTTTTTTCATGGTCGGGTTGATTTTTACTTGGTGATTCCTGTATATTGTTTTTATACGGATTACGGGAGTAAAACGGAGTCGTTGATGGAGGGTTTAAGTTGGTTTTCTCTCATTCCCGGGTTCGATGCAACTCTGCTGCCCTTGGGTCTGTCAAATATTGCAACAATCATTAATAAATGCATATTTTACTTTTGGATCTCGAGTTTCCTTTGCATGTTTGAATTGTCTGTAAATATTTTCTCGTAGCTACTAGCTAATATATTTGATGGGGACTGTGGTCTGCGGAGTTGAGCTTCCTTGTGTGCCCAATTTTCATATGAATGCTCGCCGAATTCTTCACTATTTCTAATTGTTTATATTGCAGTGTAGAAAAAAACTAGTATTTTCTGCTAGCGACTGGGAGATACATGAAGAGTATTGGCCTCTTTGGAAGACTTTTATTTGGCTCTTGTTTCTTCTTCATTCATTTAATAATTTTAAACGTTCATATGTATGGCATGGCATCACTTTGAATTTGTTTCATGTCGGAATACTTGTTCATTTGGCATCTAATTGCTTACGTGCCACTTGCCCTTGTTGGTTTCTCAAATTTTCTTGTGGGGTCAGGTGTCATTTCTTCACATGGGTACATGAGTTGGGTTTTGTATGTATTTTCTGGAGATGATGGAATCCTTTATTTGCAGGTTGTTATTAATCAATGGAACCTCAAGATGAGACAGGATGCCAGGCTCCAGAAAAACCAATGCTTTGCATCAATAATTGTGGCTTCTTTGGAAGGGCAACTACCATGAATATGTGTTCGAAATGTTACAAGGACATGCTGTTGAAGCAGGAACAGGTGAAAATTGCTGCATCGTCAGTTGAAAGCATAGTGAATGGCAGCTCTAACAACAATGGAGAAGACGATGTGAATACAGTTGCTACAGATGTACAAGTTGGAACAATGGAAGTCAAACCAGTTGGTGCTCAGCTTTCTGAGGATTCATCCTCTAGTGAGGCTTTGAAGGTGAAAGCCAAGACAGGCCCCAGCAGGTGTGCCACTTGCCGGAAGCGAGTTGGATTAACTGGTTTCAGCTGTAAATGCGGGAACCTCTTTTGTGCAATGCACCGCTACTCTGACAAACATGACTGCTCTTTTGATTATCGGATGGTTGGTCAGGATGCTATAGCTAAAGCCAATCCTGTAATTAAGGCAGAAAAGCTTGAGAAAATCTAGGAATATGCTGGGCTGATGCATGAAGCTTGACACGTCACCTTTCTATGAACAAATTCTCTTATATGTTGTCTGATTCGCTTTTTAGGTGTCCTTCAGTGATTAAAGTGGTCCATGTCATAATAGCAAGGGCATCGTTAGGGAATTGCTGCATTCTGCTCCATTGTGAGTGATTGTTCTGGTTTAATGGACGTCGTTGGCTCATTTTATGATTTAATTTCCTGGTAGATCTGTGCTTCCATTTCTTAGTTCGTGAATAATGCTCCATTTTGGTTATGCATGTGCTTATGCTTTTGAAATTATTTCATAGTTTTGATTTAGCCTTTTGTGCCCAAATGTTGTATGTCTGCCTCAAGCTGAAGTCACTGATCATGGATGGTATACAGAATATTCTCACTATATGCTGTTGTTGATAGTTCGTGCACCTAAACTGATATAGTTATGATTAAACTGGGGAGCTTAGCTTTGGTTCAACCGGATATGGAGATATGGACTATTCTGTTTTAGCTTGTGACTATTCATTACATATCTTCATCGACATATTTATGTCAATTTGATTCTCAAGTGTTATTCTATGTTGCTGATGATTTTTTTTTTCTGTAACAACAACACATGAATTACTTTCCCTGTATGTGAGATATAATAAGGTTCAGATTGAGAGTATGATTTAGTTTTCCTTGATTGTATGTTTGTGGCTTTCTAATTTATTAACATTTTCTTTTAAGTCTAAAAAAGTCAGGACTTTTCTGCTTATGTTATGATTTTGGAAGCAGATAATTTTTATGATTCAGTGAACTTTTGTTGCTGAGGAAGGGATTTGAATCCTCATCCTGTATTTGTTGGCAGATGGGTTCATTAATTAGAATTTGGCAGGTTCAAAATATAATTGTCTTTTATTTCATCATCGGTGTCAGACCTGTTTGGGAAGAATGCGGAACTAGTGGGTTTTCGTGGTGTTCAATGAGGAGGGGAGTTGTCTTTGGATCACTCTTGGTGTCCGGTGAGCTTTAGTGTTGTTTCCTTTTCTGCTTCTCGTTTTGGTCTTTGGACTGGCAATTCTCATAACATCTACTGGTTAGGTTAAGTGTTGTCAACAACAGCAGGAGATTTTTTTTTTTTACAAAAAAAAAATTGTTTGATTATTCTCATGGTGTTACTGCATCAAGGGGAAGGTTATTTGAGGGAAGAAATTCCAAACTGCTTAGGACACAAGGTGGGAGTGGCGTGGTTTGGTCTTTGGACCGGCAATTCTCATAACATCTACTGGTTAGGTTAAGTGTTGTCAACAACAGCAGGACATTTTTTTTTTATAAATAATTTGTTTGATTATTCTCATGGTGTTACTGCACGTAGGGGAAGGTTATTTGAGGGAAGAAATTCCAAACTGCTTAGGACACAAGGTGGGAGTGGCGTGGGATCTGTCATTAAGCGTTATCAATGTGATATAGAAAATAATTGCGGCAGTGAGCTTGTTGTTACTGTGATTCTATCGGTATCTGGTACTGGTCATTTACTTGTTGTGGGTATTTATGACAGTGAAGAATATGCTATTAGTGTCGTATTTTAGTTTAGGTGGTGGTAATCATGGGATGACGTCTGCTTGCCTGTGTGTTGTGTGTTTTGCTGTATACGTGGCATTTGATAAGTGTTCATCATCTTATTCTTTGTGGGTAAAATGCATTTGTTAGTTTTAACTCTAATCATGGAAGGTTGATGTGATAATAAATTGATTTCCATGATGTTCTTATGCCATTCTCCTACGTTGGAAAACCAATTGAAGTATCCAAGATGAATATGCTACATGGACTGAAGAAGACTGTAGTTTTCCAATTCTGTACAAAGTTCTGTAGTTTCGTGAAGATCAACTTGTGCGTGTAATTGTGTGGTTTGAAGTGTCTGAGATGAATATTCTAGTCTCAGATCCGTGATGTTTGCTCAACCAAGTTGCTCAATTGTTAAGAACTTAAGGTTATCTGTGTACTGGAGCATTTCTTGGATGCAACAATAACTGAAATTGAATGCGAAAAACTTGCATTTTCCGCCATCTGCCGACTTGTTTATCTATATTTGTTCTCATCGTTTATCCGCGGTGGTCTTTCACATTTGAACTTATTTATCATCATTATGACCTGCGAAAACAGCATATAGAAGTTTAGATGGTACTTAATCAATGGAGGTCAATTCTGAAGAAAGTCTTAGCGTCCTCAAATGATAGATGAACAACAAATGGACGATATGATGGTATTTACGTTATAGTTCCTGAAGGCGGCAATGCAGACACGCAAGTCTAGCAGCTGCCTTGCAAGACTCTTTCTCTTGGTTGGCATTGCTGAGAATATGCAATGATGATTAGTTACATGTATGCTCCGTCCTTCTCCAGTTTGTTTTGGTTTAAAATGCACGACGCTAGTAAGTCTATCATGGCAAAATCAATATACATTTTTTTAAATAATTAACCTAATTTCTTTAAGCGATGTAAATTAGTTATCTTGCTAAATGGTGTGATTTTTTTTAGATTTTTGTTTTAATTTGATTTTTTGAAATCTCACCTTATTTTCAATTTAATGTTAATAAGTCTAAAAAATTTAATTGATTATAAACAGTTTGTTGTTTGGATGTCAATTTTGCAAGTGACAGAAATATCCCTCTCTTTTTCTTCTCTCCATCCTCGAACAGTTAAAACAGCCATACTAGGTTGCCAGCACCGCTTGACTACTATCATTGAAGCTAGCAAACTATATATACCTCAATAACCGCATGTCCTTGTGATGATTGTGAATTATAACTTTTCTCAAGAACTTATGAGTCAAGTTTTAAAATACAAGTTCTTTAAATTTTAGAAATTTATTTATAATTATTTTTCCTTGCTTTACAAATTATTTACTCTGCTAATAAATCTAAGTAATTTTTTGAAATAAGTTGTTAAAAAATATAAGATATTTTTATCTTTTAATTAATGATGTTTTGTGAAAAGTACACTTAATTAGGGGTGTCATTAATAAGAATATGTGATCGAGACACTTATATCTATCAAATAAGGATAAACATAAAAAAAGTGTGTAATTTAAAAAATAATTAATTAATTCATTGTGAATGTAATTCAAGTGGCTTATAGTCAAGGTATTAAAAAATCAAATCGATGATTGAACTAGTCAAGATAATGATTTAATAATTAGTGGTCTAATGATGGGTTAACTTGAAATCAAATTGGTCAAGATTAAAATAATATATTTTAATTTAAATATACAAAAATACTCATTTAACTATGAAAAACAATAATATTCAAATAAAGAAGTCTTTAATGAAAAATTCATCCATAAAATCTTATACATGTCTTATATAAATATTAATTATAAGTTTTTAACAATAATAAAATACAACAACATTGACAATATTGATTAAGGGTTTGAAAATATTTAAAAAATGAAAGAAAGAGAAAAATTAATAATAAAAGTAACTTGGGCTAATAAGTGTGTGTTTGGATACGGTTCATGATTCATTTTTTGGGTAAAAAAATTGATTCTCCAATTCATTACCCAAACATCAATTTTTTAAAGAACAATTTTTTCCCAAAAAATTAATTTTCCGCCAAAGCTTCAAGATTCAGCTTTTGCTTCTTTTGTTACAAAGTTATACGGAAAAATTACAATAAAAATTCAAGAAAAAAATTATTAAAAAGAACAAAATTTAATAAAAATAAAATCAAACTCTTTTTTCTTTTTTTTTTAGTAAAATTCAAACTTTGGATAGTCAAAAAAATTACTAACATAAATACCTATCAATCACCACCCTCCACTTAATACTTGCTATAAAACTAATTTACATAAATATTAATTAGTAAAAAAATTAATTTAATTTAATTTAAAATTAAGAGTCATTACAAAGATTGTTGCAAAGGTCCCCAGAGAGAGAGAGGGGAGTTTTGTATCATTTGTTACATTACTGGCATTTGTTATGTTGCCAAAATTTCTAAACAGTGCTTAACATCTTTGTTAAATATGACTTATATTCATGATATTATTAGAGATTAACTTGTATGTCATCATCTTCATTAGTTATTGTAAATTAATGTTTAAAATTTAAAAATTAATTTTTTTTCTTTTATTAAATTTATTTAAATTAAGATATTTACATAACTTAAAATTATTAATATTAATCTAATTTAATTTTTTATAATTAATCAGATATATAATGTAAATAATATATTTTACTTTTTAAATATTAGATAAAAATTTATCAATAATTTAATTTTAAAAATAATGTCCTTTATAGTAATTTATATAATTAAAATTAATTTTGAATAAATTATTTAAATATTTTTAATTCTGTTAAAATTAATTTTAGAAAAATAATATCCAAATAAATTACATTATAACACAATCAATTATGATTAAAATTTACCATTTAAGTAATTATTTTTATAATTTATTATACTTCTCTTTTGTAGTTTATAAATTAAAATTTAAAATTTACAAACATCTTCAATAACAGCTGAAGAATTGACTCGACCCCTTGGCCAGAAAGAAAGGGCAAACAATTTTCTCTCTGAACAATATTATATATTTTTAAAACAAAAATTATCTAATTTTGGAAACCATCCTCCTTTTTTTTTTACTATAATTTTGGGAAAAAAGTCCTTAAAATAGACTTGTATTAGGTTCATAAATAAATATAATTAAAATATTCTTATTCAAGAAAATTGAAGTGAATTGGATTTCAAAAATTTATTAAAATTAAGATATGTTGCTGTTGTAGTTTAATGGCATGAAAGTTCTTCTATAAGCGAGAGAGATTACAAGTTCAATTTCGCTTGTAATTTCAAGCCATTGGTGCCGGCCCCTCTTTTTTGTTTTAAAAAAAGGCCAGGATATATTTGCAGGCTCACAAAATTATTTATAAGGATGATGTAATAAACTTTATAAAGTCCTCCACAATTTAGATTCGTCACAAACAAGATTTCTTAAACTTCAATTTCCTTTTTATTATTTTTTCAGAATCTTTTTTTTTTTTAAAAAAAACTCCTACGCTTATTACTAAAAGAAAGGGTGAGCAAAGCCGCTTTTTTGGGTCAGTTTTAGATGATAACAGAAAAATCCGACGAGCTTAATAGTAACTGATGTCACGATTCGTGCATAAGTCCGACGTTGCAGAGGATGCCCTCATTAATATTTACTTTTTGAATAAACGTGCTCAATATTTGTGGGTGTCTAATTTCTTTTATCGAATC